TAAATTAATTTTATTTTTTTATAAACAAACATATGTTGTTTTTGCTCCTTAAAAAAAAAAAAAAAAAAAAAAAAAAAAAAAAAAAAAAAAAGCCAGCGAGAATCGAACCCTAGTCTCCAGCGTAGCAGTCCGGTACCTAACCACCTGCGCTACGCCGCCTTTCTAGAATATATTACTAACTTAACGATATATAAGCTACACTTCGCTATATAATTTAAATCGAGTTTTCTCGAAAATGGCTGAGAGGTGCGCCCTATCCTTTTGCTCAAGTATTCTTCTACTAGAGTACTATACAACAAAAAAAACCTTATTGAAATCGGTGACCCGAGGTTCGCGATTTCCCCTTGTAAGTTTATATGTGTGTTATTCCAAAAATATTGAACGCGAATAAAAATAAAATTTTACTTTTCTCTTTGTACTACGTTTTTGCATATGTTTCTTTTTTAAACAGCAATAAATACGTATGTAACTTTTTACGTCTAATAAATAAAAAGTTTGAATTTTAGAGAGAAATTAATGCCAGCGTGTGTGTGTACATATACATACACACGCGTGCAGAGTGCGCTGTAAACGCTAAATAAACGTGTTCTGCTCAGTTCTGCTTTTTACACGTGCGGGTTACAGAAATCCAGCAAAATTTTAATAAAACAAAATACGGGGAAAACCCAATTTACTTTATTTTTAAGAAGAAAAGTAAACTACTTATTCATCAATTGTTTTTTTCTGGTTAGTGTATATTTTATTTAAGTTTGATTAATATTATTTCTCCCTAACCTCTGCTTTCTACATAATCTTTTTTTAAAAATACATGTTACAAGTAATTTTCTTACAGTATAATTTTATTTAAGCGTATTTTATTTTATTTATTTAAGTGTGTAATTGTATAAGAATAAAATTTGGAAAAAATGGAGGATGAACCAATGGAGGGTGTCGCGATTGAGGATGAGGGTAGCAATCTGAGCAGCGAAGAACCCACGAACAAAACAAGTTCGAACAAAAATAAAACAAAGACTCGATCGAAAGTATATCTCCCAGGAAAATCTTTGAAAGAAGGAGAAGAACTTGTGGTAGATGAGTCAGCGTATAGACTACTACATCAAGCACAAACAGGTGCACCTTGTCTTAGCTTTGATATAATACCAGATGACTTGGGTAATTCAAGAGAGACATATCCTCTAAGCATGTACATGATTGCTGGTACGCAAGCTGCCAAGGTACATGTCAATAATCTCTATATCACCAAAATGTACAATTTACACAACAAGCAGCATTCAGAAGATTCAGACGATTCAGAAATTGAATCAAGTGATTCAGAATACGATGAAGATCATAAGCCACTTATGAGTGCTGCTTCTATAAAACATCAGGGATGTGTTAATAGAGTAAGGTAAATAAATGTTACATAAGAAAAATAAATTGTCATTATTATGTGTTGGAAGATTCATATCTAGAAACTGTTTTTTTTTGTTTTTATAGATGTACAAAAGTTGGCGGAACAGTCCTAGGTGCTAGTTGGAGCGAACTTGGACGTGTAAATATTTGGAATTTACAAGAGCAGTTAAACGCAATTGAAAATCCTACTTTGCTTGCTGCGTATAACAAAAACAACGAAGACATTAAACCATTATACACATTCAAAGGCCATCTTTCTGAAGGATTTGGTCTCGATTGGTGCCGTGCGGAACTTGGCACTCTAGCATCTGGAGATTGCAAGGGTAACATTCACATATGGAGAGTTGACAACACCGGCTCGTCTTGGCACGTCGATCAAAGACCGTACAATTCACACGCTCCGCATAGTGTGGAAGATTTACAATGGTCGCCAAATGAAAAGAACGTACTTGCGTCGTGTTCAGTTGACAAAAGGTTTGCAAAGATCAGATTTTTCACGTATTTTACATAATACAATTTAAAGATTAATCTGATTATGATTTTATCATTTTTTGCGTGTGTCAAAAAACAGCATAAAGATTTGGGACACTCGAGTGAGTCCGCAAGATGCGTGTATGTTGACAGCGTCCGGTGCTCATTCGGCCGACATCAACGTTATTTCATGGAATCGTACAGAAAGTCAGTTTATGGTATCAGGCGGTGATGACGGACTGCTGTGCGTATGGGATTTACGGCAATTTGGACAAAATGGTTCAAGTCCAATTGCTACTTTCAAACAGCACACCGCGCCGGTCACCACTGTGGAGTGGCATCCTACAGAAGCTACAGTGTTTGCTTCTGGCGGAACTGACGATCAGATTGCTCAGTGGGATTTGTCGGTTGAAGCAGATAACGTGGACGAACCTCAAGACAGTGAATTGGCCAAATTGCCACCACAGTTGTTATTCATACATCAAGGACAATCGGATATCAAAGAATTACATTGGCACCCACAGTGTCCAGGTACCATAATATCAACTGCAAATTCTGGTTTTCACATATTCCGGACGATTAGTGTGTAACGCTAAAAAAAATAAAGATATTGTGTATATAAATGTGTCCTCCGTAATGGTTAAATTTCATAAAACCTCTGTTTTTATGCCGTACATTTTTTAATCTTTTTTTAATTCAAATTATTTCTCTATGTAAATTTTATTTGAGCAAGTGATATTTTTAACACGAGATAAGATTATATATTATCTTGATATATATGTATATCAGCGCGCGCCTGTGTTGTGCTACACATTTTTAAAATTTTGATAAATTATAAATTGAGTTTTTGTAAGGATAACAGCAAACAATTATTGCAACCACTCACATTTTGTACTTCAATATTATTTTTATAAAATATATTAAATCATCATTAGATTATTTATTTGTTTATTAATAATAAGGACAATAGATGCCTTATGGTAGGTCTTCCATGGGGACAATTCCATGGATTTTGCATTTCCGCCATTTGCATTATCAGTCTCTGCATCTCGCTCATGTTCAAAGCTGTGCCGATCATGACCGCGCTACGACACGCTCTCGACGCCAGCATTTGTCTCACACGACTCGGGCGATACATGTGACTTTCCTTAATCTCGTTACCCGCTTCCCTGATGAGAAACACCATTTCCTCTATATCCTCTTGACCAAATTGCCAATTACCGCTCACAGGTATTTCTGTTAATTCTATCTTCTTGCCGGGCTCAGCTAAAAACAATAAACTGATTTACGCTAGAAGTCACTATTATTGGAGATCACATAAGAAGATACCTTGCTCGTTGATATTGAAGGTAAACCCATTATCTTCAAACGTTTGTCGATGATCAATGATTATTGTTTCATTCAACGCGGACAAGTTCATTGACTTCGGTACGATAAGCTTTTGAGTTTTCAGCTTTGTTTCGTTGCTGAGCTTCTCAAATCGAAATTTTTCATCCGTGGCATGTTGATCAATGATAAAAAGATCATCTTCTAAACGAGCTATTATGAAACCAAGATTAAACTGACCTATTATCTTCATCTACAAAACAAATGATTAAGAGTTTGAAAAATTTAAATATATTTAAATTTTATATTTACTGTCACGTAAGTCCATTTTTTATATAACAATTGTATAGTTTTTAGATGTGCGCGCACCTTGCCAAACGAATCTCTCGTTAATTCTCTTTGTAATTCTTTTTCGATCTCTTGCTGATCGGCTTCCATTTGCACTCTGTATTTTATTCTTTTTTCTCGATTAACAGGTGCCGCAATTACGTTCTCTTTTTCTTGTAATTTTTTTTTTATTGCTGATATACTTATCGTCATTTCTACGTCAACAGGTTTTTTTACCGATCTGATGTTGGTCTGAATATCATCACTTTGTGATAAGGAAGACGATAGTTGCAATCTTTTAGCTGGAGGATTCGCGCAATTAGACGAGATTGTTCTTTTTAAACCGAAATTTAATTCCGTTAAAGTTTTCGTCGTGAAGTTCCCTTGCAGTTTGTCCCATTTCGTCGTTAAACTGTGTTTGAGCGTTGCCAATATAAGACGTTCTTGCGTGAAAAATATTGTTCTCTTGTCGGGAGTAACGTTAACGTCGGCGCACTGTCGATCCAACTTGATATTTAGAAGAACAAACGGATATTGTTTATTGTTGTATCTATGATAAATATTGTTTATCAGTTTACTGACTTTCGTGAGATCGCACGGTCGTCCGTTCACATACAAGAACTGTCGATCGGGGGCGGAACGTCCGATCGTGTGATTACAAGTGCTCACGTAACATTCCCAGTCGAAATCCACGGTAACGTCATTGGGCAAATTATATTCCTGCAATACTGTTTCGTCCGGATATTGCAACTCGAGTTTAACAATATTATCAACGGACTTTTTTCCAAACACGCAATTTATGTTGTCCAATATATTGTTGGCGCTTCTTGTGGCCATTACGAGATTGGGTGATTTGCCCGATATCGAATTGTGACACGTAATTCTGATGTTGGTGGAAATTAAGCAGTAGCTGTACAGAACCTGAATAGCGCGCGCGTACTCTTTCTTCAAATTCTTTTGAAACTCTTTTGCTCTCACGGGTAGATTCTTGAATATGTTTGTTACATGTACGGTCGTACCCTTGTCTCTGGCGCACGGTGTCTTCTTTACAAGCACACCGTTCCGATCGAATTCCAATTTAAATCCGTGATCGCTCGACGGATGTCGAGTGACAACAATCAGCTCGGACAAAGCGCACAACGAGCTCAATGCCTCGCCACGAAATCCGAATGTGTTCACTTCCACCAAGTCCGTAAACTCTCGTAACTTCGAAGTATGATGTTTCAAACCTGCGTGAAATGGGATTAGAAAAAGAAAATTATTACGTTTTTTTTTTTAAATTGTTTCAACAGATCGAGATACATTGAGATTCCAAATAATTGTCCAAGTTGTGCTCTCTTTTACATTTGAATTTAATTATGTCTTATACAATATTGATTTCTCTCTCTCTCTCTCTCTCTCTCTCTGTTTACTGTTTATTTTATAGACTTACCTAAGCCTTCAAAATCCTGCTCTAAAATACCACTACCATTATCACTGACGCTGATGCAAGTTTTCCCATAATCTGTGAGTTTCACGTCAATCACCGTAGCACCACTATCCAAGCTGTTTTCCACCAATTCTTTGATAGCGACTGCGAGATCAAGCACTACCTATAATACATAAAATATATACATAAAATATTTACAATATTCAAAGTCACGTGTTTTATTTAACAAACTGACTTTTAATAAATTATGCTATATACTCTCTCTCCTTTCTCTTTACAACGACCTTAACCTTACCTGGCCCGAGCAAATGTGATGGATCGTTTCTTTACTTATAGCCTCTATTTTTTTGGACTTTTCCGTCGTTGCAACTGGCTCGTCCATTGTTTCAGTTTATTACACTTTGCATTATATACATACACGTTAAACTTATTATTAATAATTCTTTATTAATCCTCCTGTGTTGTGCACACACATGTGTAGTCTAGTAGCGTCTCATCGCTAAGTATATAAAAGTACCCGATCACATCGTCAGCTGATCAAGAGATCACGCAAGCTGAGCACGAGCAACTTTGCGATCAACGTTACGAAAACTGTTCTCTGAATCCTTTAGATTTAATAATAAATAATAATAATAATAAGTCATTACGTCGATTATTAAAAATCTACACAAAATTCGACACAATATTCGATAAGTATTGAAAATAAAAGACTTGCATAATATTTCGTCCGTTATTTATATTTATTTATTTATTTATTTGTTTATTTGTTTATTTATTTATTACCTGCCTTTCTCTCTTTATTTTATTTTACACGCTAATAAATAATCAAGCGAACAAGAGCACAAGATTTACGCGCAATAGTCTTGGTCGTTGGAAACTATGGGACGCAGAAAACGAGCTGAAATCGAGCGAAGGTATCAGGAAAGTATGTCTAGCGAGTAGGTATACGCGCCAGCTCCTGGGCGTATACCTTCTCGTATACATATAGCGCGCTTGGCCCCACCCCGCGCGCCATTACGGAGCACGCGGGGCGGGGTCAAGCGGCCATTATAGTCGCTCGCGCCTCAGCCAATCACCGCGCGACTCACGGCGCGTAGGAGGCGATGGGGGGACGCGTAGCCTCGCCCACAGATACCTCTCGCGTTACCTCTTCGCACAACATGTATTCCTGATACTTTCCTGATATTTTCGAGGCTCTTGGACGACGCGCAACTCACCTTACCCGCTCAATTCTCTTGCTATTTCTCTCTCTCTTGCTTAATTCTCTTACATTTTTTCAATAATTTGTCAATCTTTAAACAATAATTTGTAAATTTATTATAAATATACGTATGTATATAAAACACTATTTATTATTAAGGATTAATAGATGTATGTATATACAACGTACATGTAAAAATAGTTATGATAATAATGTAAGTAATCAATTTTGATGCATATAAATTTATAAATTATATATGCGTAATTATATGTATATGCGATATGACTTATAAATTATACATGCGTAACAATAAAATGTATAAGTAATTATCATATTTTGTATATTGAGAAACAATAGAAAAAGGAACAATAAATTAGATTGAGTTTGCAATGTGTTTTCCAGCACCAAGGATTTTATTATTCTGTTATTATTACATAATATTGAAAATGTTTCCATTATTTTAATTTGTTTGAGAGTCCCGGGCACACATACTGTATGAATTTATAACAGAAGTTTATATACAAATACATAAACTTTATATATCTTTTTGATAAATATATATTACATGTATATTTATTTTATTTTTATTAAATATCCTTGTGTCTATAAAATGTTACCATTAATGATTAAACTTTTGCAAGTATAACTTCAAATATAACACAAATGACACACAACTTAATATATAAAAACCAAAACAAATACCTTTTACAAATTATTCTAATTATAAAC